CACAAGTACGATGTTGGCCAACCATTCAACATATTTGGTAGGCCTAATAAATCTGGCCTTCACTAGTATTTCAATTTCTTCTTTGATCTTTTCTTCAATTTCTTTGGACATCCTCCGCGGTGCTTGCTTAACAGGTTTAAACCCCTCCTTAATAGGCATCTTGTGTTCCACCAAGGTTGGATCTAAACCTGGCATCTCGGTGTAATGCCAAGAAAAAGAATCTTTAAATTCATGCAGAAGGTTGATAATCCTTGCTCGATCTTTGGTTTTCAACAAACCACTGATTTGTATTGGTCTTGGATTCGTATTAGTTCCCAAATCAATGGTCTCCAAGGGGTCTTGTACTTCTGGGGTTGGTTTGTCGGGTTCTACACACAAAAACTCAACCAGTTCAGAATTCTCCGGTAAATCTTCTGGTCCCTCCAAGTCGTATATACATTCAGCCATTTGGATGGCTATTTCTAACTCTTCTCCAAAAAATTCTTCTCTTTTCATTAGACTGCTTGAAGCTTCTCCACTCCACTTTTTTTCTTTCTTGGTTGATTTCTCCCTCTTTTGTTTTTTTTTTTTCTTTCCCATACACCAACAGTCTCTTTATTAAGAAGCTGACTGCAATCATTTGTCCTTCCTTTTTTGTTTTGACATTAAGGGTGTTGAGGAGTTGGGATGATGTAAGGTCTATCCCATTCTTCTCTTGTGAGAGATAACCCTTGTTCTAGAAGCTTTTGGGCCGTCACCTTAGTCGGGCAGCCGTTCTTGTCAGCTGCTGAGCATTGAAGAATCCCAACACTGGGATGGTAGAAGTTAGCTTTTACTACATTGGCTGTAGGGAGGAACGGCCGTGATTTAGCCTCTACCATTTCCCAGAATCCAGGTCTCATTTCCCTTTCTTCATGGTAGATAGCCACTTGTTGGTGTAAGGTAGATGGCACAGAGCCACTTTCATGAATCCAATCTCTACCGAGTAAAGCCCTATAAGTGGAAGTACTGTCTACAATAAAAAAGGCCAACATGATTTGTTTCAAACCCAAGTTAACCTCTAATGGTAGTATCCCATGATTTTGGTGATAGCTCCTGAGAAACTAGAAACTGTAAGATCTGTGGGAATAAGATCTTCCTTACTTCTGCATATTCTTTTCATTTGCTTGTACGACAGCACATTGACCGTGGCCCCTCTATCAATTAAGACCATCTTGAAAGGTACTCCTTCCAGGTGAGCAGTTATATATATAGGCTTGAGATGGTTGGCTAGGGTCAAACTCAGGCCAACGAAGACCGTTTTGTCCAGCTTCTTCAACACTAACATGCGTCATCATAGGTTCTGTCGCCAAGTAATCACTTTCTATCATGGGAGGTATATCATGCTCTGTGCAAAACGTGGCTGCTAAAACATATGTCATATTTACATGGAAGTTGCTAGTCTAATTAAATCTTTCCCTTTGCCCCCGATGTGGTTCATAAACTTATCCAACCAAGCCTGTGCTTCTTTTGGCAGCATTAGTTTAGGTAACGCCTCTTTTTGAGTTATGCCAAAATTATGCACTTGCACTAGGTTCCCACAAAGAGTGTCAACCAGCAATGGTGAAGGTATCTCTCTCTTGGGTGAGATTGTTCCAAAACAGATTGGCTCCGGGCTCCACTTAGGTGTCGGCATCATCACCATATCCCTCTGAACTCTCTTCAGGATTCTATACTTTCCAGGATGGGGGTTCTACGATATATGATCTCATTCTCCTTTAGTTTTGCTATTTGCCTTCTTCACCTCTTTCTTACTCTTCCAATGAGGTTGGCTTCTCCCTTCATGAGGTACATTTTCGAATTTTACATTCTCCAAAGTTTCTGAAGTAGTGGGAACTTTCAATGAGTTCATGTGGGCCTTATGTTGCCCTTGGACTCTTCTGATCATGGAGGCTCCCATCTCTTTAACAAGTCTCTCGTCATTTCCGACTATATACCATTTCTGCCCGTGTCAGGCAAGATTTTTCTTTGTGACTGGGTTCACTGTCCTCCCTTTCATTCTAACATCTCCACTGGTATAACTTGGCTAGGGTGGTCTCACATCCACCCATTTTGGTGTTTTGGACTCCTTGTCCTCAACCTCTTCTAAAGCTTCATAGTTTCTGAATACTTCTGATAAGTTTTTATGCTGAGAACCTCCTGCCAACCTCTGGAAGACGTTCCTAGATGTTTCCCTCTTAATTGCTGCATGATGTTTATACGGTTTTCATGTTTTTCCTTCTTCTTTCTCTTGATCAGCTCTTGATCAATGATGGCTCCTGCTGCGGGTACCTCTAGTTCGCATTCATATTGACATTTAGCATTACTCTTTTGATTATAGCAGCCTTTCGGGCAGCTTGATGGCTCCCTCAATTAGTCTCTCAACTGGGTTCTTGTCTGCTCTCACTTCCCAAGTGGCTTTCCTTTTCCCTTTCTCTGCCAATGTTAAATTGATCATGTTTATGGGGATCGATAGAAAGGGATGAGTATTAATCATTGTATTAACCTGTGTCTCTTCTAGCAACAGCTTTATTTCTGGTCCGCATTGGCCCATACTGTTTAGTGAAAATAACAAGGGGTCGGGCAACTCTGCTTCTTAGACTTCTTCCAACACTAGCTAATTAGTTTTGGATTCTTCCTTCCTTTTTCCCTCAAATAAAGGAAACAGAGGAATAACTGGCTCCCCCACCGGGCTAGCTTATCTCATAATCTCTCTAGCCCAATCATTTTTTGGGGTAGGGTACTCCAAATCTAGCCGTCTTTGTAGATTCCCTATTAAGGAACAAAGTCTGCTTACTTCCTCTCTTGTTTCTAGAGAGTTTTTCTCTATACTTTTTATGACAACCATCATGGTAGCCTGCAAGTCTTCATTTGTGACCTTCCCTTTTGATTTCTCAGGAGGAGTCGGGTTTTCCGTCAAGATAGGTCTTTGTAAGTCTTCGGGGAGATTTGCCATGCTAGATCTTGGTGTATACTAGGGTGGTTTTTGTTTTGCTCCCCAACTGAAGGTTTGTTCATTCCTTCGTCTTTTTGGCATACAAGATTTATGTCCCACTCAGCGTGCCAAAACTATGTTCAGGCAGGAAATCTCGATGGTGGACGTTCCTAGCTTGAGCACACAGCTCCACGAGGAGTGGGCACTTTGGTTGGTTGTCGGACTCCTGCTTACCGGGATGCTGCAAGAGGAGGACACAGTTAGTTCTGAAAGGTGCCTTTGTGGGGCCTTAGGTGTAAGCCTTGAGGCTCACAATCAAAACTAACTGAGTGCAAAGGCATGCCACTACCATCTCAATATGGTAGATGTAGAACAAGTGTGTTTAAGTTTATTACTTGCGCCCCAAGTTATTCTTACTTCTTGTTATTAAAGGATTGTCGTTGATGGGTTAAGTCTACATTAAGTTTTTTCTATGCCTTGAGATCAATGACTTTCATTTATCTTGTATGCTTAGAGGGTGGAAGTCCAAATCTGAATAAGTCATCAGTTTAGTTCACTTTTAATCCTGTTATGACAGTAAAAACCACTAAGGAAACTAGATCTGAGAACTGATGGAGCTTTGAATCATTAAGAGACTGGAAATGACTTAAATATATACTGGGGAAAACATTATAACACTTGATCTATTAATTGAAAGACGATACAAAGAGAGTCGGGCAAGATTTCACCTTATCGGGCAAGGTTAAATGTCTTGCGATCTCTTTTCTTTGCAGTTACAAAAAGGTTGAGTACTGAAGAGGGATGAATGGCAAACAGGTTTACACAAGATAATCGATACTACAACATTTGAAAAAGGTAGTAAAGCTTTTACATAGACGAAGATGTCTTTCTAAGGGGAGTTGAAGGCTAAAGGGTGCAAAATCTGGACAAAGCGTAGCTTTCTGGGTATTTGCTTGAATGAGAGGCATGTTGTATGTTTGTTTGTTTGATTAGTTGAGTGTCCTTGTCTCTGGGCCCTGTTCCCCTATTTATAGGCGAATTAGCCCGATTGTGCTACTTCTGCTCTAGCCCGAGAGCAATTGGAGGATAGTGAGTCATCAACATTTTTACATGTTCTGCCATTCGGAAAGTGCTTTTGGGCCTAGAGTAGGTGGATTTCCATCAATTGTCACTTCTCTTGTAAGCACTTAACCTTTGCATTTAATGGGGAGCTGTCATATTGTCTTGAGATAGGTATATGGGCTTGACTCTGGGCGTCGGGCAGAATCTCCTCTATTGAGCTCTTTTAGGCTTCCTTCCCTTGAAGCCCAAAGTTAAATATTAACCGAAACATTGTGTACAATTTTTTAAATTTGTGATCAACATCTGTCTATTTTCATTAATATTTTAGGACGAAGAACAATATTCTAATCATTGTATAAAGAGCATTGCAAATGTATATTTATGAAATGAAACTACCACGGATAATCCAGTAGTTGTGGACAAATTTCAGGTAAGTATTCCACACTGTCTTAGGTTTGCTCTTGGGGCTATGTGAAACGCATGATGGTGGCTAGAAGAAGACTGAAATGTCTCTGTGAGTCTTCTTGACTCCTGCAAAAATAAATTATTGTGTCAAAGTCACCACCTGATTTGAACACCTCCACTAATTTTGAGTTGAATGGAAATAATTTTATCATTGCCAAACATAACATAAACACATGATTTTAGTGGTGTGGCAATCCCTACATGATTATCTAGCACGTTTAATTCACTTTGTTCTCATTATTCGTCATGCAATTGTTCCATTTCGCGTCAAATTTATGTCAATTTTGTGTTGATTTCATATGATGGTCAAACTTAAAATTCCTAACAAGAACACAACATCCGTGTCCATTTCGTGTCATTCCCAAAGTTGTCACTGTACACAAATCCTACCGTCAGATCAAAAACCCTTCCTCGTAAGGACACGTGGGAGCGACCCAGCTAACGTTTTGCATTAACTGACATGTCGTCTATCCACACCGAAACAGAAACTTCCTCCTTTTCCCATTCGAGTTTCCTCCACAAAACCCACTATAAATTCCCATCCTCCATAGAAATCGACATCGCTCATCACAAAAACAAAATATATCCAGAAGCCTGAGCTCTACTATTAACCCTAATAATGTCTACAGAGAAGAATTGCGGATCGAAGAAAGCCGAGGATCGAGGATTGCTGATGCTGAGGCTGCTCATTGGGAAGCTAGTGCACAAGGGTCTCTCAATCTTGGCATCAAGAGGCCTTCATGGTCACCACCATCGTCACAATGATTTCAACGTAGAATCGGAAGCTACGATGGTGGTGCCGGAAGATGTTAAAGATGGACACTTCGCAGTTTTTGCTGTCAAGGGGAATGAAGCAGAGAGGTTTGTGGTTAAATTGGAGTCGTTGAGTAACCCTGAATTTTTGAGGTTATTGGAAGAGGCCAAGGAAGAGTATGGATTTGATCAGAAGGGTGCTCTTGCAGTTCCTTGCAGGCCTCGAGAATTGCAGAAAATTCTACAAAGCTGCAGGAGGAAAAATAATATTAATTTTACAGTTACACAAGGATACTAGCTAGCTTCTTTTGCAGAATTTTATGTAAATTATTTGTCTAATTATTCCCTACTTTTCTGTATTTTTTTGCACTGAATGTAGAACAAAGTTCTACATGGTAATAATGAGAATTTCATTTCATTTTATCTTATGTTATTTCTTCTGGCAATGATGGTGGGTTTGCGGATGACAATAATTGATGATGATTTTCAAAATATCGTGTATATTCTGCCAAAAGGTTTTTGTTTTTAATGCCTTCATCCTATATTTGGTGAGTATTATTTTCATTCTTTATCTTTAAATGAGGAAAATGTGATTCGACCCTGCTTTCACTTTCAATTTTTTTATAGAGCAGTATGTTAAACCTGAACTATGATGGTGAAGGTGAACAAAAGAAAAAAGAAACTACTACGTAAGGAATTAGTACTAGTGTTAAACATTCTCTAATGTTAGATCATGAATGGGTATGTAAAACCATTCTCATGTTTTGATTATAACCGATATTACTATTCTAATCTATACTAAAGGAAGGGAAAGTGTTTGAATCAGGGAAGCTTGTGGGGATGGAAGAAGCCACTACACTAAAATTAGTCTTTTACAGCGCACAATGCATGTTGTAATAGTCATTCGGAGCGATCGTGCCATAAAAGTCCATATGGTCAAAGATCCATCTCTTTTATGGCATGCATTTGCACACCAAAAGTAATGTACTTTTTCACATCTCTAAATAGTAGTGCATGTAAAAAGAATAATATGCTTGCTATATAAGACGTTCAATTCACCCGTTTTTTCTATTTAAATTCTAAACGTAATTTCAGTTTATTATTGATATTTTTATCGGATTTTCGTTCAACGTGTTTTCATTCTACATTTAGATGGTGAGGGTGAGTTTGAAAAGTGAGTTCGGATTTTAGCCTATCAAGGTTCCGTTCCCTTCAATGTAACAAAAATATATGGCTGGTTTATGTCAGTCATTTTCTAATTCGGGATACGAGAAAGTGTTTTGGTCCATTTGGTTCAACGATTAAAGAATTGGAAAATGGATATGAGAAGTCATTCTCATGTTTGGTAAAACCAGTAATGGACTATGAAACTTTACACACAACTGATAATTATAAATGTGGAATTTTTTTTTTTTTTTTGATGATAGGAGTTGTTGTGCACCCTAAACTTATAAAAATACAAGAAAAAATTGTATATAAGTGAGTGCAAGATAACAATTCTTTGGTGTTAATAATAGCACTCTTAAATATGCAATGAAAGGAACAATGAACATATTTTGATTCCTATTGCGGCACCAGCAATGCATAAACCAAAAGCAAAGGGGAAAAAAATGGTATTTATTCGTCTATATTCCCGAACTTTTTACAAACACAAACGAGCTTTGTGCACTGTTGCAGTTTTCAGACGCCAGTTGTTTATGCCGTGTTTGGCCAGCTAGTATCACTATCGAGTGTATTGGAAAGAGATCCTTTCTGGATCTCTTCGTCCAAAATCCAGGGATCAATTGATCCAAGCATTTAAAATTTTGATCCAATGGCTAAAAATTATTATAGCTTTTAAAAGTTTTTACTAACTTTTCTGTTTTTAGCCGTTGAATCAAATTTTAAAGGTCCTGATTGTTAACAGAAATATGACTCTAAAACTACAAAGATTACAAATGAAGTAGAATAGTAAAAGGAATTCTCAGATTTCTTAGTAACAATGAAGAAGTCTCACAAAAGCTTTCTTACCTCCTATGAAAGACTAAGTGGCTACTTATACTCACAAGTCACAATCACAAATACAATATTACCCTCTAACTTCCTTACTCAATTACCATCTTATCCTTCTTAACAACCTCAACTAACTTTGGTTAATACTCCCCCCTCAAACATAGCTGGGGAAAGGCCCGAGCTATGGTTGGAAATCGTCTTGACCCTGTGATGAATCTGCACTACGTTCTGATGCCAACAGAGATGGATGACTACGGAACACCCTTGTCCTGACAGCACCCAGAGTAAGATGAAGACAGTGTTTGACAAAGATTGGACTGTGAAGACCCTTAGTAAAAACATCTGCAACCTGCTCATCAGTGGGTATGTACTGTACAGAAATGTCACCTTTCTGGACTTTTTCCCGAACAAAATGGAAGTCAGTATCCAAATGTTTGATCCGAGAATGAAATACTGGATTTGAGCACAAAGCCAAAACAGAGAGATTATCACAATGAAGTTTAGGTGGGAGTGGAAGAAACTGATGCACATCTCTGAGTAGTGACCGTATCCAATATACATCAGAGGCACAGTGAGCTAAAGCTTTGTATTCAGCTTCAGTTGAACTTCGAGAAACTGTAGCTTGTTTCTTGGACTGCCATGAGACAGGATTAAATCCAAGAAACACAACAAAACCAGTAATAGACCTTCGTGTATTAATATCTGCAGCCCAATCAGAATCAGAATATGCAGTAATGGTAAAATCAGAGGATCTGGATATGTTAAACCACAGTCTAAAGTGCCCTGCAGATATCTCAGGATGCGCTTCACCAGATGCATGTGCATATCTGTGGGATGAGTCATATATTGACACACAACATTAACAGAGTGAGCAATATCAGGACGAGTGAAGGTGAGGTACTGAAGGGCTCCTACAAGGCTGCGATAATGAGTAGGATCAGCTAAGGGAGTGCCTTCATGTACAAGTAACTGAGAGTGGGGCTTAGATGGGGTTGAAGTGGATTTACAAGTCTCCATCCCTGCTTTCTTGAGGAGCTCCTTAGCATAATTGGACTGTGTGACCAGTAAGGAACCATCAGAATTATAGTGAATTTGTAATCCCAAGAAATATGTTAATCGGCCCATATCCTTTAATTCAAATACGTCAGCAAGATCAGTGACAACAGATTGAATCTTAGATGAGGATGAGCCCGTGAGAATAATGTCATCAACATAGAGAAGAAGGAGAATAACATCCCCATCATCAACCTTCACAAACAAACTAAAATCAGATAAAGCAGTTTGAAACCCAAGTGCAGGGAGGAAACTTGTGAATTTGGAATTCTAGGCCCGTGGTGCCTGTTTAAGACCATACAAGGACTTAACCAATCTACAAACATGATGGGGAGATGTAGGATCAACAAACCCCTGTGGCTGCTTCATATATACTTCCTCCTCAAGGTCACCATGAAGGAAAGCGTTCTTGACATCCAATTGCCTCAAATGCCAGCGAAAATGTGCTGCCAAAGCAAGAATGGTCCTGACTGTAGTATGCCTGACCACTGGACTGAACGTCTCAGAGTAGTCCAATCCCTCCTGTTGACTGAACCCTTGAGCCACCAATCGGGCTTTGTACCTTGAAATAGTGCCATCTGACTTCCTTTTGATTTTATACACCCATTTACTCCCAATAACTGCCCTATTTGATGGAAGAGGAACTAGTTTCCAAGTCCCTTGAGCCTTTAAAGCATCAAATTCCTCCTGCATTGCCTGTTGCCATTGAGGAACCGTGGATGCAGCTCTAAAGTTTGTTGGTTCTTCAACTGCCCCAATGTCAGCAAGGAAGGAGAAACCACATGAAGTCATGGAAGTAGGCAAGACCAAAGGAGAGTCCAGTTGCAGAGAAGACAATTCAGGAAAATGTGCAACAAAAGTAGAGTAATCTTTCCTGGATATAGCCCCTGTTTTGAGCCTTGTTTGAATTCCAGTAGGAACAGTGGATACAACACCATTACTAACCAAGTCATTAGAGGAAGATAAAGGAAGAATTACCTGGAGTTGTGCAGGATCTAGGACAGGAAGCAAGGGAACTGTACCAGATGAAGGGGAAAGAGTAGGTGTTGATGCAGATGGAGATTCAAATTCCTGTACTTCTGAGTCTTGATGGAGAGAACCAGATGCATGAGAAGCAACATTAGAAGATATAGTGTGCTCAAGTGAATTGCTCATAGGCACAGGTGCAGGAATAAACACAGGCACAGATTGAAAACTGGGATTAGTAGACTGTACTTCTTGTTCTGATTTGGAAAAAGTCAGGTAAGGAAACATAGTCTCATCAAACATCACATGTCTTGAAATTATAGACTTTCGATTTATTGGGTTATAACAAACCACCCCTTTGTAGCCCATTGAATAGCCTAAAAAAACACAGTTCAGACCTTGACTGCAATTTGTGAGCATTATATGGCCTTAACCATGGATATACAGCACAGCCAAACACTTTCAAGGACTTGAGATCAGGATGTTTATCATAAAGTCTAAAATAAGGAGACTTCATAGAAGCAGATTTGCATGGCATTCGATTGATAAGAAAAACCGAATGAGCACATGCAAAATACCAGAACTCAATAGGTAACTTAGCTGTGATCAGTAAAGTGATTGCAGTCTCGACAATGTGCCTATCTTCCGTTCTACCAAACCATTCTGTTGGGGGGTATATGGACAAGAGAGCAGGTGTTCAATCCCTTTTGTACCAAGAAAGGTTTTAAACGAATGACTGACATACTCCCCACCCCCATCTGATTGGATACATTTGATAGATAATCCAAACTGTGTATGAATGAAATTGTAAAAATTGACAAACACAGAAAAGTAATCTGATTTATTGCACAGTGGGAAAATCCAAGTATACCGTGTGTGTTCATCAAGAAAAGTTACATAGTATCCATATCCTTCTGAGGACTTTACAGGAGATGGTCCCCAAATGTCTGTATGAACCTTCTCAAAAGGAGAAGTACATTTATCAATCCTAGAAGGAAAGGGAAGTCTTGACATTTTACCCTTGACACAATGAGTACATATACTATTCTTAGCATCTACATCAACTGATATACCAGACTGTTTCAACATCACAGCTATTACTTCATTTGTAGGATGACCCATTCTTTGATGCCAGATACTGGATTTTACCATTTGTCCAAGAAAACCAGATGACTGCTGAACGGCAGAGTGCACTCCCTTTGAACTTTTGACCACAGGAATTTGAAATAATTGGCCTGGTCTACTCTTTCCTTGGTACAGAATTTCCCTTGTCTTCTTGTCCTGCACAAAAAACTCACAGTCATCACAAATGAACCAGCTATGATTATCAGCACAGAGTTGTTGTACAGATAACAAATTTCTGGAAATACGTGGAACATGCAACACATTTTTAAGAACAAGATCACTAGAAT